GTTTGTTTGTTTGTTTTTGTTTGTTTGTTTGTTTGTTTGTTTGTTTGTTTGTTTGTTTGTTTGTTTGTTTGTTTGTTTGTTTGTTTGTTTTAAATACCAGTAAGTAAATAAAGCACATTTAAGAACAACTACCGTTGGCCAAAATACTGGACACAAAATCAACAACTTATGAATGAATGAACTTAAAAATATAGTTGCAAAACAAACATTTAAAAACATGGCGTGACAAAACATTAGACCAAACACTTTGATTGCGGGTCATACTCAGTTCTTCATTATTGATTTAAAAGTTCATTAAAGTGATATTTAAACTGATTAGTGTTCGCTGGTTGGTTGTCCTTTACTCTGAGGACACAGCAATGTGACTTTTGACAACAAAGCCTTGCAGTTTGATTGAACACCAGCAGATGGCGCTTTGAACCTTCACATGTGTTTTCTCTATAAGCAGCAGGATTTCTGTACAGCAAAAAGAAGCGAACATTATTATGTCATGCTGCAATGAGCTGTAGTGGCCGCTGGGTCACAAGTACTCCTCAAGGTCTGTGAAGGTTTTTTGAAAAAAGTGCTTTTTTTGCCATAATAATGAATAGAATACTGTTTGAAATGCTTCCTCTTAAGGAACAAATAAAAATGAATATTGATTTAAATTTTGTGTTATTGCTGTGATGTCATTTGATTTAAAAAATGTCCTTTAAGAACCTTATTTGATGGAGCAAAGCATGTCTTCATTTTTATGTTTTCTTGTTGACCTGATCCAGCCTCTCCTGTTTGAAAGCTTATGCTCTGGGCTGCATCCTTCTCGTTTTCATGTATGGCTGGTTTTCATCTCAGTTCTCAGAACTATGCAGCGCAGAACTATTGGGGCTAATTGATATATCTGGCCACCACTCATCGCCACCATTTTATTTATTGCGTCGTGTTGTGACGTAATATGGAGCAAAAAATCCTTTAGAGGAGAACTGGCAGCGCGCGCGTCTACACCGTCGCCTGTTAATTGGAGAAATTACGAGAGTCGCGGAGCGCAGGAGCTTTGACTGCGTCTCAACTAAACTCCTCCCGGTCACTGTCGGAGGACATCATGTGGCCAACACCAGCCTGACGCACACAGGGGACCGTATATAAGCGCTGCAGCTGTCAGGTGGAGGACACTGGCTGCTCCGCGCTTCAAGACATTACAGCTCTACATAGATCCTTAAAAATACAACAACAAAAAAATGTCTCACAGCTGGGGATACGGAGCCAGTAACGGTGAGGCGCTCACGGACACATGAGGTGTAGCAGAATGACAGAACACTGCATTAACACGGATCACTGCACAGATTTTTATGCGCRTTTTGGAAGTGGGGGCGCACGCCACCCATCACCCGGATAAATGCGCTTTTAATCGCGATCAAATATAAAAACTCCCCTCTCCTATGACATTTTATTTTTATTTTCTCTCAATTATGTGATTTCCAGGACCGGCCAAGTGGGCTGACAAGTTCCCCATCGCGAACGGACGCCGTCAGTCTCCCATCAACATCGTGCCATCCGCAGCATCCTACGACAAGGGGCTGAAGCCGCTCAAGCTGCAGTACGACCCCAAAACCTGCCTGGAGATCCTMAACAACGGGCATTCCTTCCAAGTGACCTTCGTAGACGACAACGACAGCTCAAGTGAGTGTCCGGACGCGCAGTGCGCGACGCTCAGCCCAGCACGGCTGTCCGCGATCAAACAGTCCCAGTAAAAGATGCGCGTGCTTTCAGCCGCAGAAACCATCAAATAACGCTTCATTTCCGCAGCTCTCACACAGAAGGGTGATAATATTCTGCTTCTGTGAATAGCTGAATTGTGCTTTTAAMGCTTTGTTATGCAGACCTTTCTTTAAAATGTATTTTTAATATTGGAAACAGGCGCGCTGTGGGGTTGTTTTATTCAGGGATCCAATTGAAAAGAGGAGCACAAAGCATGCAAATTGTAATTGAATTGGTAACGCAACCCCTGGTGACCGTTTCCCACGACAACTCTTTTATGTAGACAGAGAGGTCAGAAGCCAAAAGCCCCAGAATAGGAAAAAAAAGAAGAGTTTATATAAAAAACTTTACTTGGGATGACACATCCACACACATACACAACTTGAACTAAAAAGTGACTTTTGCTTCTTTTTCTCTGTTCTTATTATTCTGATTGCATTTTTGTTCAGGGAGAGTTTTGTATTATGTAACTGAGAAAATAAAGGRTTGCTTTTAGTGGCAAAGAAAATGAGTAAGTACATGCATCACGCACTTTAGCTCAGGATAAATAAAGAAGCTGTCTGCAATGTTTGCTCAACGGAAAAGATGAACGTCCCAGAGTTTTTTTATTCTACCTTTGATGTAAAGATAAATTTTAAGGTCCAATTTTTAAGAAGCTYCAAGTGACAACCAGTGTACGTCCTGTGTGATATGTGATATAGCACAATACAATGGATTACCTGTTATTTACTTTAAACAAATGTTTACTSTAGATCATGTAACATTTAAAGGAAGAGGAAAAAAACCCTTAAACTTTATTTTTGGCCTGGTCTAACAACAGGAACTRTGATGAAACCCATCATACTATTTTTGCTGCTTCTTTGCTCAGAATGTCATTTCCTTTGCAGTTTTTTTTTCCCGAGCAGTAATTAAAGTCTCACTAAGCTGACTCGTGCTGAGTGAAGGCTGAACTGACTGCAGCTTCTTTTGTATTTTTTTTTTCAGCTCTAAAAGGTGGACCAATCTCAGGCACCTACAGGCTCAAACAGTTTCATTTTCACTGGGGATCTACTGATGGAGCGGGTTCTGAACATACTGTGGATGGGAAGAAATACCCCGCTGAGGTTAGGGATGCTCTGAAGTATTATCATATTATCATATCATATTATCTGACTGCTATTACATGACTGGATTTACATATTTTGAACCATACGTGATGAAGAGTGGGAWATATTACAACCCCAATCCAGATGAAGTTGGAACGTTATGTAAAACATACCTAAAAACAAAATATGATGATTTGTACTTTTTTTCCAACCTATATTCAATACACTACAAAGACAAGATATTTAACGTTAAAATGGCTCAACTTTGTAGTTTTTGATTGTAAATATTCACGTACTTAAATKTGATGCTCGCAGCATGCAAATTTGTTACATCACCTTTCCTCTTACTCAATAAGAGTTGAGGACACTAATTGTTTTACAGCTTTATAGACCAATAAACCAATAATGGTCATCAGTTTAAACATTAAATATCTTGTGTTTGTAGTTTATTCAATTGAATAGGTTGAAAAAGATTTGTGAATCGTCGTATTCTGTTTTTATGTATTTTACGCAATATCCCAGCTTCATTGAAATCAGGGTTAAACATTTTTTTTTTACCACAACCAGGGGCGGTTCTAGGGGCGGGGCCACAGGGGCATTGGCCCCGGATAAAATCTGATTGGCCCCCTGTCCTGTCACTCATCTGTCCTTTGCCCTACAAGTGAAGAAGGGAGATGCAGTTCCATGTTCAAACACTAGAGGCGCTAGTGAGTCCGGCGTGAATCAAGCTTCCAGACGTCATCTTCTCTTCTTGAGATTTGAACAATCCTGCATGAAAAGTCTTTCCACTAACAAACAATAGCTGGATTTTCTTACATGCTGTGTGTTTGAAAGTATTTGATCCACGTATAGTAAAAATACATGTAAAACTTGCAAGGAGAATTTACATGCAAGATTTTTAAAATTACATTACAAGTGTCTGAACATGTGTGACTGGTTAAATGTGTACATCTTACCAAAATCAGAGATTTGTGTACARAGATGTTAAATAAATACTTGGCCCCTCTAAGAATATTGTGGCCCCTTGATGGCTGCTTGTTCAGAAAAATCCTAGATCCGCCACTGACTACTCCCCCCCCCCCCCCCCCCCCCCCCCCCCCCCCCCCCAGCTGTAGCTGTATTGTCCTGCAGGTGGTTGTCATTGGGCAGGTATGAAACAGGGTTAGAAGTCAAATCTGGTGACTTTTCAGAGATAGAAGAAGTTTGGCTTTTTTCTAAGCCAACAGAAGCTCAAACTTACAGGAACCAGTTTTGTTTCTCTTTGTTTGACTTGTTTTCCAATAACTTAGATGTACACAACTCAAAGCACAGCATATATCTTTTTTTAAGTTTTTGGTTTATTTTTGCAGTRAAACATTTTTGCTTATCCACAGCATTTCAGATGCTTCATAATATCGATAAACATATTGAAACTACCAGACTTCTGTAATTCTAAAATGARGATCCTAAACATACATTTGATGTCATTGTTTCCAGCTCCACCTGGTCCACTGGAACACCAAATACGCAAGCTTCAGTGAAGCTGCCAACAAACCTGACGGCCTTGCTGTTGTCGGCGTCTTCCTGACTGTAAGCAGTGGTAACTGGAGCATAGATTCTGTGTGGCTTCAAAGCAGTCAAAGGTTAACATCTCCAATATATGATCTTTTGTTGTCTTCCAGATTGGTTCTGACAATCCTAATCTCCAGAAACTTATTGATGCGTTTAGTGCCATAAGGACCAAAGTATGTACGCATGTCAACAGTGTTTTAATGCATATGTTGTGAATAATCAAGTAGMTAAGTTAACTCTTTTACACTTTGTGTTGTTTTCAGGGAAAGCAGACTTCTTTTGCTGACTTCAACCCTGCTACATTGCTACCCAGTAGCCTTCACTACTGGACATATGATGGCTCTCTGACCACACCCCCTCTGCTGGAGAGCGTCACCTGGATAGTCTGCAAAGAGCCAATCAGCATCAGCTCTGCACAGGTATTTTCTACTTTCAGTGACAATTCTTWAACRGAAYGATTGGCTGCGTTCCCAGACAAAAAAAAAAGGGTCCAGTGTGCAAATTCCCCTTTATTTTAAATGAAGGGCCTATTTATTGACGTTAACGTTGYTGCTGAAGCCAAATAAACCTCTTGTAACAGGAGGGAAAGCAKTGCAGGTCTCCCCATTTTACTTTCAAAGAGTCACCTCAGAAAACGACATTTAACAAAAGTTCACTTGGATGCTGTTGGCTCGCAGCGGTGTGTCAGTGAGCGAGTGGAGAGTCAGCAGGAAACATTCAACCCACACATCCATCAAAGACTGTAAGCAATGAGACTTGGCTGCAGCCACTGTGTGATTCTGCAGCTTTCAAAGTAAACACTGAATGCATTCTATCTGCATCATTTTTCTTTTCTTAGAACAAAATACTATAATTTAAAAAGACATTTGCCTGATAACAGGAATTTAACATAAATAACAACCAGTAAGCAAGTTTGTCCTGGTGGCTAGAGTGGAAATTCTAATTTTAGCATCTGAAAGGTAAACATGTAGGAGGTGCAGACACAACCTTTAGACTTTGTGCTAAACCAGAATGGACAAGTGGTTAATGACAAATTGATGACTTCCYTGTTCTTTTTGTCAGTTTGTTTTCCAAGAAACAACAACAATATAATGGGTTTTTTTTTTTTTCAAAGGAGTGAAAATGAACTCGGCTTCAAACTATATGTTATACACATGTGGCTGAAGCTTTGTAACGATCATGTAGGCCAATAAATCATTAGTCAGGGTTAATGCTAAATCCATTAAATGGGTCACCTGACACCGTTCTGTTGTGCTGTCCCTGTTACGCCTTACTAAAATGAGTCATTTGAAATTTTACAGCAATGAGTAATCTAATTTAAAAATGAGAATATGAAGCTGCTAATGGAAAAATGGACCTGTCAGTAGTTTGTTTGCTTAAGTTACCTAAAAAAACAACAACCCACAAAGAAAATGATTTTTCCAGCATTAAAAAAATGAACCTAACTAAACATCTAGAAAGGAAGTTATAATATCCTATTTTTTACATTGTTGTATCCGAAAATTGTTTCATTTTTAATTATTTGTTTGATTTTGAGAAAATCAAGAAAAAAAGACACAATCCAGTATCTGATAAAGAGACTGCTGTT